TTTTTCCCATTTGTCTCTTCTCTCCAATAGTGTACTGGCGATTGCTGGTTTTATTCAAAAGGTTATTAAACTCTCCATTAATTTAACAAACACTGTGACGTTTAGTTTTTCCTCCTGGATAACTTGTGCTTACTAGTAGCAGTACAATTCTGTTGCGATCTCATACAGAAGGGATGAAAACAGGCTGTATTGTGACACTGACTAACATGCATTACTATTATTGCTGTCATGTGCGTGATTTTGCATACACGGCTAACGACGACAAAAGGGACCCGAGGTTTGCCATTCCATGTCTATATTCAGTTTTAAGTTTAAGACATTCCATCAGTATGTGACCTTTCACGATTACAGCCCTTTTGTGAACAAACTGGAGAGTTTCCTAATGTGCTGTCAAGGAGGCAGTCAACATAAAGGTGCTGTTTGACATCAGTAAACGATTTTCCTGGTTTGTTCTGTAAATTTTTTTTTTTCCCCCTTTTGCGTAATATTGCCCACACTTCCATTTAATAAAGATGTAAAATTGTAAACATTTTATAGGTAAATATAAATTTGTCTTGAAACTAAATGTTTGCAAAAACACTTCTATTTTTTTTAGTTATTGAACCCTCTTACAAACAGAAGCCAATGCTTGACATTTCCCTCTTCATGTAAATCAGAAGGTGTTTTGGGGCCTTAGACTGACTTTAAGCTTCTCTACTCCTCATTCCTGCTAAGAGGAGTTTCTGTAAGAGCTTAGCAGTTCAACTGAGAAATTCTGGATTTGACTTGAATTTTGTGCAGGAAAGTGCTGCAGACCAGTGGAGGCTTTGAAGTCCTGGCCCCAAGTCTGTGAAACACAAGCCGAGATCGAATTTGGCAAATAGTTGAAGGACCTGAAGCGTTTTTCGAGGGGTAGCCACTCACTCAGTGTCACAATACCTTGTCACATCACCATAACATTCCACTTAGGTGTAGAACTCATCCGTCTCGAGCTGAAGACAATGTTCATGCACTGAAGACGAAATCTCTCTCTCTCTCTCTCCCCTTAGCTGAACAAATGGCAGTTATTCTACGCTTGATTACAAAAAATACAGTAGTGAATGTGGAGCAGAGCCTGTCTGTATATCTGGTCTCTCCACTTG